CATTGACAAAGGTCAGAGTTCATCTACAAGGTCAGAGTTCGACAGAAGCTTTTGAGAGCTACGATTGCCAGTTGGTTCCTGAAGTCATACGCAATAATAGTTTTAGACTTATCCAAGTGGGAGACTGTTGGATTAATGTCTAAGTCCATAACTATAATTGGTAAGACTTGACCCGACCCGGCATGGTCCATTTGGGTTGCATGGCATCATGCACTTGGATAGACTATAATGAGAGAAATAAGACACTTATGGTTATTAATATATTATAAGTTCTAGTATATTAATAATAAGAATGATATTATTTAATTAGTATTGATCAAGAATTAATCTAGGATTAATTAAGTGATCAAAAGAAGACTAATTAAATATATGGGTTGATTGTGTAAATCATCCATACTTGTATAGTGGGCTAATGCTCCATGGATTATAGTTGGGCTAAAACCCATAGGATGTCCATGGATGCTCCATGGTGTATTTGAACCCATGGATCCAAGGAAATGGAAAGTCATGACAATTAGGGTTTACCCTAATTGTAACACTATATAAAGATCTTATTCTTGACAAAATCGGCCACTAGTATTATTCTAGAGAGGGCTAGCCGATTTTCATGAAGTGTAGAATTCTCACTAAGTTATTCCAAGTGCTTATGGTGTTGTGTGAACCATTTGAGGTGTCAAACTTGTGGCACTAGGCACTCAAGCTTCATGAAGACAAGCACCAACAAAAGGTATGTTATTCTAACTTGTGTTATTCCAAGTTTAGTATGCTAGAATAGAACAATACCTTGGAAAGTTGATATTTGCATGTATAATAGAGAAAACATAGATCCAAGGTATTTAGGGTTGCATGTACACTTAGGAGTGTTAGAATGCTCATAACCCAACATGAAGTACTCCTCACTCGTCTGACGAGGAAGGGGTAGATTTTTGGTGGGGCCCTAAGCCGCAGAGGGTATTTGTGACCCTTAAACATCGACTTTGCAAGTCTCTAGTCTTGACCCTCCCGAAGGGAGTTGAGGATTTTGTAGTGTTCTATGATGCATCCACCACGGAACTGGGAATGGTCATCATGCAGAGAGGATGGGTGATAGCCTACGCGTCGTGGTAGTTGAAGCCACACGAGACGAGATACCCTACTCATGATCTGGAATTAGGAGTGGTAGTATTTACTCTCAATATTTGGAGACATTACCTTTATGGGGTCCGTTGTACCATATACATGGACCACAAGAGTCTGAGACACATCATGGATCAGCCGAACCTGAACATGAGACAACACAGGTGGCTTGACGTGGTCAAGGATTATGACTGTGAGATCCTTTACCATCTGGGTAAAGCAAACGTGGTTGTGGATGCTTTAAGTTGCAAGTCAGGTGGTTTTTCTACATCGACGAAATGTATGAGGATATCAATGGATTCTCCACTTGTGAGCTTGATCAGGGAAGCTCAGGCTGAGGGTATGTGACAAGAGAATTAGAAGCTTGAGAGGAATAGGGGTGAGAACACCCAATTTGTATAGGATAATCGGGGATTATTGACCAATTGCGGTCGGGTCTGGGTTCTGGTGTCTGGTGGGGTCAGACAGATTGTTCTAGAGGAGGCTCATATCTATTCACATAGGGGCCACCAAGATGTACTGGGATTTGTGATTGAGTTACTGGTGGCCATGCATGAAGAGGGAGATTGCATGGTATGTTGAGAGGTGCTTGACCTACTGGATGGTCAAGGCCGAGCATTAGAGGCTGCATGGTCATCTGCAGCCTCTGGAGATTCCCATGTGGAAATGGGAGCAGATCACGATGGATTTTATCACCAAGCTACCGAAGACGGCGAAGGGCTATGATGTTATACGGGTCATCGTGGATCGATTGTCCAAGAGTACCCACTTCCTAGCGATATGGGAGATTTGATCAGCCAAGAAGCTGGCCAACTTGTATATCCGTGAGATCGTTGCTCATCATGGGGTGTCAGTATATATTGTCTTAGACTGTGATGTTCAGTTCACATCCCGTTTCTGGCAGAAGTTCCATGAGGAATTTGGGACGCGGCTGCACTTCAGTACGACTTATCATCCGCAAACAGATGGCCACAGTGAATGGACCATACAAACTCTCGATGATATGCTGAGAGCTTGGATTATTGACTTTGGTGCAAGCTGGGACTCCTACCTACCCCTTACAGAGTTCTCCTACAACAACAACTTTATTTCCAGTACTGGTGCTCCACCATATGAGCTGTTGTATGGACATAGATGTCGCACCCCAGTTTGTTGGGGTGAGATTGGTCGCAGGGTGATGGGACAGACAGAGGTAGTTCTGTAGACTATCGAGAGGATTCATCAGATAAGACAGTGGTTGCAGGCCGCTCAAAGTTGGCAGAGAGTTACGATGGTAGGTGCCGATCTGAGCTGGAGTTCCAGGTGGGAGACATGGTATTACTGAAGGTCTCACCCTAAAAGGGTGTGATTCAATTCGGGAAGAGGGGGAAATTGGGCCCCGATATATTGGGCCATTAAGGATTATTGCTAGGCTTGTTAAGGTGGCGTATAAACTGGATCTCCTGGAGGATCTTAGTCAGGTCCACAACACTTTTCATGTGTCACAGTTGCGAATGTGCATATTAGATGAGGAGATAGTGGTATCGTTGGATAATATACACGTCGACGAGCGCCCGAATTACGTGGAAAGACCAGTAGCCGTTCTTGAGAGGAAAGTGAAGGTTCTACGGAACAAGGAAGTACCTTTAGTAAAGGTACAGTGGCAGCACCAGAGGAGATCCAAGTGGACTTGGGAGCTGGAGGCAGAGATACGGCAGCATTACCCCAAGTTATTTACCGCAGCAGACTTCGAGGACGAAGTCTAGTTCAAGTGGGGGGGGGGGGAACTATAACACCCCGACACCCAGGTATGAAAATTTAAAACTTATTTGTCACATTCTTGGACCTACTTGACAAGTTGGATGCCCTAACTCGTCGTGTAGAAGCGGATCAGACAGCATGATTTATGAGGTCTACTCGACGAGTTGGAGGACCCCAACTCGACGAGGAGGAGCTGAATGGGAAAACCATAATCTTTAAGTTTGCACCCTATTTAAAGGACTTAACCCACATCGTTTGGCCTCCCTTATCACCTCATTACCCAGAGAAGGAAACCCTAGTAGTTATTTACTAGTTCTTTGTGCTTGTGAGGCTAAAAGAGTGTTTTTTGTGCATTTGTTAAAGAAGTTTGAAGGTTGAAAAGCTTGGAACAGAAAGGAGCTTGTAGATCCAACATCTACATTGTTTTGGATTCCATTTGAAGGTAACAAGACGTTACCTTGATCATTCTAGTGTTAGATCTCCTTATTCTTGGGTTTAAGGCCATTTTTAGTATATTTGTGGATCATTTCGGGCATTGGGCATGATCTGAAGTTGTAACTTCAGATCTTGAGTCCTCTAAGTCCTTATAGTTATAAAGTTATTGTATGTATCAAGCTTTGGACCTTCTCTTTGGTTTAAACCTATCCCTTATCTTGGTTTCGGCATTTAAGACCTTGCATGCACGTAAATTTTGCAACTTTACATGGAAACCATGCCCTAGGATGCTAGATCTGGAATTTGGAGTTTTGGGGTAGCTTAAAAACGTATGAATGAGAAATAGACTGAAGTCACTCAACGAGTTGCATGGTCAACTCGACGATTTAGATAAAGATTGGTTTTTGTTGGTTTCTAAATGGACTCGGTGAGTTAGTGAGATGACGCGATGAGTCAGTTAGCGTTTTCCCAAAGTTTGGACACCGCATGGACTCGACGAGTTGTTTGGGAACTCGGTGAGTAAACTAGGGTTTCACGATTTCTGGAGTTCTGAAAGGACTCGACGAGTCAGTGGGCTACACTCGACGAGTTTGGTCAACATGGACTGTTGACCTTGACAGTTGACTTTGACTTGGACCAAGGGTTGACCAGTTTGACTTCTGGGGGTATTTTAGTAATATAGGAATTTATGAAAGTGAACCATTGGTGGATGTAGGTGGTTGAGTTTGGAGCTGTATTTGGGGAGTTTGACATTTATCATCATGAGCTACTTGTGAGGTGAGTGTCCTCACTATACTTAGGGGTCGAAGGCACCAAGGCCAGCCTATTGGATATGATATCCTAGTAGTTGGTGATATGTTTAGTATAAGTTAGTTGTGCATGCTAGTTTGATATGCCAGTTCGGTATATATGTAGGACTACCTGCGTTATTGTTTGGTTATCTGTATGTGCCTTTAGCTGTTATATGTCGACATGCTATGTGGGATAGGTTGAGGTTATACTGCTCCATGCAGTAGCCAAAAAACCCTGGAGTATGCCAAATATGAGCTTAGGGTCGGGCAGTGCATGCCATACTCATATTGAGGACTCATGAGCATTCTAGATATGAGCTGAGGGTCGGGCAGGGCATAGCCAGACTCGTACTGTGGGCTAATTTTTTGTATTCTAGTCGAAGCACTGAGAGAGCAAGCCAGTCGTAAGCTGTGGGCTCGAGAGCAATCCAAAATTATGATGTGGGCTCGGGGGTAAGCTAGATTAGTTGTGGGCCCGAAAGGCAAGCCAGACTCACACTGTAGGCTCAGGTGTAATCCAGTCTATAGAGTTATGGACCCATTACATGTTGTTATTTGTATATGTGTTATTTGTTATCTATTGGTATTTTGGGGGAACTCGTTAAGCTTCGGGCTTACGGTTTTGGATTTTGTTTCAGGTACTTCGGATGATCGCTGGAAGCAGAAGGCGTGATCATGCACCTCCTCGCATTTTATGACTTTGTTTATGGGATACTCTGATATGGAACTATTTTGAAAACAAATTTTTAATAATGGTTGGTTTTTTAATGATTTAAATAGTTTTAAATTGGCATGATTTTTATGAATGTTACACCAAGAAAGCTAGCATATTTTGTTGTAGATAGCTTCACAACTAGTCTGTGCTCCATAAGGGTTAAAAGTGGTGAAGTGGTCATAACAAATGAGAGAGTTGAAGCTATGTTTGGACTTTCGAATAAGGGTTTGGATTTTAAGACACTGGATGAATGTGATAAGAATGATCCATTGCTTGAGGCTTGGAAAGGACAATATGGGAAGGGTAATTATTATACTGGAAACTATTTAAAGAATATAAGAAAAACAAGTGTTACAGATGAGTTGTTTAAGCTAAATTTCTTGACTTTATTCATTAACACTTTTGCTGAAACAAAGACGATGGGGTCTTGTAGAATTAATTTGATTGAAAAGTTAATTCAATGCAAAGATGTGTCAAGTATTAACTGGTGTGAGTACATAGTAAACCGCTTAGAAAAAATGAAGAATAAGTGGAGGCCAAATGACAAAAACTACTAGTTCACAGGACCTCTTGCATTTCTAATGGTATGATCCGAAATATTAATTTCATGTGTTAAATACTGTTAACAATAAAATTCAATTTTAATGAAAAATTATGTAATGTAATTGTGCAAATGGCGTATGTAGACACAGTGATATGTGAAGATGTAAATCTGCAAAGGTATAGGCCATTCATCACATAAATTGATTCAAAGCACCTAAGAGTTTTGGAGGAATATGAAGTAAGCAGGGGTATTTGGACATCTGAGTTTACAAGAAAATACCCATGCTGTGTTTTATGATGAGATGGTGAATCAAGATGATTCAAGAAATAGATTAGTTGAGGTAAGAAGATTTTATAATAACTATAATAGTAATAGTGATTTTTTTTATGTTAGTGAATGGTAATTGTAGTATTTTATAAAATAGTAGAATGTTCAATTAACATTTCATTGATTTAAATTGTAGGAGAGTTGTGGAATTATTGAAAGTATGGTAGGAAGGTTGATTGAGCAGAAAAAGGTTATAGAAGCAAGTAGTCTAATGTGTATAGAAATGCATCTGAATGATGATAAGATGAAGGAAGTGATTAAGAAGGTGGTTAAAAATTTTAATGGGACAACACTAAAAGCATTAATAGGGGGTGGGCATGAAGATAGAATGGATGTTGATGTTATGAATGTGCATGCAACAGAAGGAGAAAAATCAGATGAGGAGATGAACAAAATGCTTACTGATTTGACTAAGAAGACGGGGAAGGATTTACCAAGTGGGTCCAAGGTTTATTCTGTATTGAATGTCGATGCTACCACAAATTCAGATTTGGGAATGGAGAGGATATCCCTAACAATCTTGAAGCCAACTGGTATGTGTAATGATAAGGTTATGGTTAAGCAACAGGGCGGTTCACATAAGCAGAATATGGGAATGGAAGTTGTAGTGAACAATGGAAATTCTAGTTTTGATTCTCTGTGTATAGTAACACCTGTGTGGATAAAGCAAGCTGATGAAATAGAAAGAAACATCTCTAAAAAGAGTATTAAATTTAAAAATGACGGTCCATCATTTGAAGCTAGACTTGATGAATGTGCATATGAGATGAATACTTTGAAAGGGAATGAAGGTAAAGATGATGCAGTTGTTGAACAGGAATGTAATATAATGACAAAGAGAAATGTTAGAGCTATAGTAGGGATTAGCATAAATGAAGCATGGACCTTCATTGAAGTCACTTTTTGTACAAAGAGTTGTTGACTTGAAATATGCAATTGAGCAAAAAGAAATTATGGTTGCACAAACGATTATTGGATTAGGAATGTATAAAAGGTGTAGTTGAATACTTTTAAATTTGTTTTTTTATGAATAATGTAGTGTCAACTATATCATGTATACAATCGTGAAAAATGCATGGAGCTCGTATGGGAATCAAAAGAAGGGTTTGGAATGAATCTAGAATATGCTAGAACTATTGCAACAAAAGTGAATATTCATTTAAATGTAATAGACTGTTGGAGTGTTCTATCAAAAAAATTAGAAGAGAGAACGTTAGAGTCGTCGTATTCTAGACTTTATTTTACAACAGGCACGCTGATATGTTTGTTTATTTATAAATAATACCAAAGTTTGTTATATTTAATGATACTCATTGTGTTGTTTAAATATAATTGCCAGCATGAATCAATGTATGACAAAAGGGTGAACGAAGATATAAGATACAAGGAGTTTGAAATGATGGTTAAATCATCAATTGAAGATCTTTCAAATGATCCTCAGCTAAAAAATGTTGATTTGGTAATTAAAATATTAAATGTTTACTAGTACGTTTATTTATTTTGTTATTAATTTTTATATTTTAATTAAAATGTTGTAGATTTTCTTCCCTATTGTTGATGGGAATTACTACCTGATATGTTTTTCAATTTTGATAATTGATCAAAGGAGATTGGTGGGAATAGTTAAGTCCGTCTATGGGAACAGACCCCGCGTGCTGGTAATTATGAATATAAAATTATTCATATATTTTTATGTTTATGTGATTGTGTAAATGGTTAATATAATTTGTGTGACATAATTGATGAATGCCATTACCGTTTGTTTACAGAAAAGGTTTTTATGTCGTTTTCTAAATAACGTCTGTAAGAAGAAGGTGAAGACTCTAATGACAAGGAATGTGGTGGTGTTGAAAATGAAGTGTCAATTATACAACCATTCAAATGATGGTGGAATTTACCTTATGCGACACATGGAGAGTTTTATGGGGGATCAAACATCAAAGTAGGATTGTGGGATAGTTGTGGATTTGAGAACACAAGATATGTATTTACAAAAGTTAAGGTACAAGTATTGGTGAGGTTGCTTTTGTCTGATCATAATATTTTGAAGTGTGAATTTGAAAAGGAGTATGTAAATTTTGTTAAGATGGACAAGGGGACAAGGAAAAAAATCGTTCAAGGGAATCTAAAAGTAGTCTTTGATGAATCTATTGATTGAAAGTTGATGGGGATGATAGTCTTTTGGTTAGGTTTAATGATTGTTATGCATGACAGATGGCTTTTTTTGGTGTCGTGGTAGGATTTGGTCTAGGTTTAATGTAGTAGGGATTTGTTTTTGTTATCTGTTTCTAAAGTTATTAAGTTGCTTGTGTTCTGAACCTATTTAATATATTAGTATTTATGATTGATATGTTTTTTGAATGTTTGTTAGCTGTGTCTGAAGTGATTAAGTGGAGTATTAATGTTCAATTGATATTCAACTATGAAATTTGTATATTACGTACTATAATGGCCTTTTCATGGAATGTAATTTTAATGTGGTATAAATCAGTTTTGAATTCAATATAGAATATATAATTGTGTACACCATTTTTAAATAGAACAAACTAATCATTAGTAATATATGTTTCAATTGATGGATAATTATTTGATAATTTATAGTTAAAGTAGATGAATATATGTATTTTTAAAAGTTAAGGTAAAAGATATGTAACAGTATTCGGTGGCATGGTAGGATTTGGACTAAATGTGAATTTGATAACATAATATACGTATTTACAGAAGGTATGGTACAAGATTTGTACATCCATTGTTGAAAAGTTTGTTGAGAAGTTATGTAGTTTGGTAGGTGAATGTCAATGTGAATTTTGTGGTTTCAATTCTTACGGAAAAAGTTTTCATAGTTTATATTCAACCTATAATATGTTTTAAAAAACTAAGTATCTTAATAAGTAGGATAAAAGATCCATCATATATTGAGCGCGTGTAATATGAATATTATTATGGTTCATTGTTAAATAATTGTATAACACAAAATTTACTAAAAAATGAGAAAACGATAACATCTATTCAATAATGAAAGCATTCAAACATGTCTTTAAGATCAAAATGACAAATCTAAAACATCCAAAGGTAAACAAAAAAAATTAAATATAAAACATGCATGCACAATTAAAAAATAAAAACAAAATGGAAGATAAATGAAATGTTAATTATACTTAATTCTTCTTTCTGGGATATTCTCTAAAAATGTTGTTCTTTTCATCTTCTTTCCTAATAGGACAATTACGTCAATCATGATCATTGCCCTTGCGACAATAACTACATCTAGAACCCTTCAGATTTTCTGTTGCAACCTCTCTCGAACTTTTCATTCTTTTTTTAGTACCACTTCCTTTGTTGTTGATTTCATCCGGATTCTCAATATCTACATTAGTGGGCATGGTAACACCAAGTATTTTTTCAAAAATATTTACTCTTGTTTCCTTTATCATGAGTTGTGAGCTGCTTTATTTCCTATAAGTATTCATTTAATTTGGTGTGATTGTTGCTTAGAGAAGATATACAGTTATCAACAGTAGAAAATATATCAAGTGCAACTCTTTGAGTATTCTCGTCAAAATCAGCATATCGAAAACATCTTTTCAATAGTTCTGTGGGGACGATGTCCTTCTTCCAGCGTCTTTGATGTTATATGACTTCATTACAGTAAAAATGTGGCGACACAAAATAGCAAACTGCTCAAACTTCATACAAGGACATTGAAATGTTTGTTTGAGCTTATTGTGTGTAACCTGGATTGAAAAAATTGTAGAAAATTTAGAAAAAAAAATCTATAAAAATTAATAGATTAAAAGTAGAAGTTTCAAGAGTGATTACCTTGTAAGTAGACTCATGTATAAGTATATCCCATTGATCATCATTTTCAACTTCTGGATCAATATGAGAACCATTTGCATTAGAAGAATTATAATGAATAAATTCCTTGACAAGACACTCATCAACATCCTCAAATGTGTTGATGCAAATTTGTGAACATGAAACCATATACAAGTACATCTCATTGTGAACTTGTCGAAAAATAGTGAGTGTAAAACAAAAATGCGTTCCTCTCAATATCAAATGGTGTCCTCATTGTTGCATGTTTGCCGTTAGTTTTGAAGTTTAATGATGATTGAGTGAATCTCTGCTTCTCCATAGAAGCTTCAAAAGAAATCATAAAATGGACAAGAGTAGAACCATAATGAGTGTTTTGGTGAAATGCAGAATTCTCACTTTCAGAACGAGATGTCATTCTCATTAATCCTAATAAAGGTACATGCTTGAAGAATGTAGGTATCCAGAAATGTCTCAAGCCATGTATATCATCCAAACGTTTATTATCTGTGAGCTTGTATTCATTCAGTAAGGACTTTCGCCTTACCTCAAATTCATCAACTTCAAGCCTCTAATTCCATATCAAGAAGTTGAACTTTTTGAGAAATTCTGGATTGTTGACAATGCTCAAAGAAACATGGGAATTTGTAATTTTAATCATAAATAATTTGAATAATATATTTTGTAAATTCTGTTTTGAATACACTAAAACAATTGATTGTTTCATTGGTAAATTTATTAATTTATTTGTTAATATTACATACTATGTAAATATAGTATGATCTGGTATTGAAATATACAATCACTTCATTTGTTTTGGAAAAAAAAATCAATAAATGTTGACATGCATAAATACCTTCAATGGCAATTTCGATGTGATATGCCACATACAAAGTCTATGAATCGATTGTGGGAAAACAGCTTCAATGGCTTTCTTCATTGCAGGGTCTTGGTTGGATAAAACCAACAATGGTTGTTTTCCAAAAGCTTTAATAAAAGATTTCAACAACCATATATAGGAATTAGTGTCTTCTTTGCTCAACAAGCCAACACCAAAAGTGGCACACCTCTTGTGATTATCAATTCCAGTAAAAGGAACAAAAACCATATGGTACCTGTAAAAGTATTTGAATTAATATATGTATTAATAATAAAAAAATATATTAAACTTCTATCATTTCCAACCTGTTAGTTCGAAAAGTAGCATCGAAAGAAACTACATCACTAAACTCTTTATAACTGATCTTGGATGTTTCATCTACCCAGAAAAGAGCATTCAACTGCTTATTCTCAAATCGATACTCAAAAGCAAAATTCTTAACATTCTCTTTTCTGTTATTCAGCTTGTCCACTAGCATCTGAGCATCACTGCCACCTATAAAGCATTGAGATCCCTCATGTAAATTTTGAAGTCATCCATTAGCCCTCCTACAAAATTGTATCCACTAAGAATACTTGTATATAGCCTGTGAGTTATGGTTACACCGATATTTTGATTAGACATAAGAATGAAAGATTTTTGAGTGCCATCCAACTGCTTATGATGACGTGAAAACAACATATTGTCTCTTGATATAAGTGGATGATTGTGTTTTTCTTTAAATTCATATAACCACCATTTAGTAGTTTCAGGAATAACTTTAAATCATATACGCGTGTTGTATCCGGTCCTCCTAGTGTTAGTCCTTTTAATTTTACTTATTTTTGGGTCCAAAGTATCAGTAGGGGATGTATTTGGGAAACCTTCCCTGTTACATAGAATATATTTCATGTACAAAATTCCACACTTCTTTTTGTTTGTTGACTTTCTAACATCAAAAATGTGTTGCACATGCATATTTTATATACGTGTCTTCAATTGCATCATCAGATGGGTATTTATGGTCTATTATTGGATTAAGACCATCAGGGACAGTTGGAATCCAATAAGATTTAACGGCTATTACAAATTGTTGATCAATACAATCACCTTTTCTCTCTTTACACGATTTAATGTCTATGACATCTAACAAAACACAAGTTAATAACATAATATAAATAACAATTTAGTAACTCAAATAAAATGAAATATGAATTATCAATGAAGTCTGTGTATCTGAAATCTAATTTTTTTATAGTATAAAAATAATATGCAAAACTTGGAATGTGTTTGATATATTTCTACGTGTTAGGAAATGTGAAATCGCCTTCATTGTGGTGATCCATCATGTCGACATTTTCGAATAAGGGATTATCAATATCATTTGAACAAAATTCATCCTTACTTAGAATTCATCATCGACTAATGCAGTTTCAACTTCATTGATCTTGTTTATATCATCAAAATCGTTGGGAAATAACAAATCCATTACTGGATTCTTATGGATAACTTTAAGGACAAACTTAAACTGAGTATCCGATTCAATATGGTTTGTTAATAGTCATATTATAAACTTGGAATTTTTCAATACAATGGTTGATACATGATTGATGGTTTTCCATTTCATAAATGTTTGTTACAAATGATATTATATGTACCTTAATATAGGAGGTTACCATTGAAAGAGTCATTAAATTTGATTAACAAATCCAAAATTAACATTATTGATGTAAAATAATTTATTTTTATTTAATTAAGTATATGTATATTGATTGGTTGAGATTTGTCCTCATGTTCTCACTTTAAATAAAATTTTCACGTGAACTTAATTATGTGTGTGTGTGTGTCTATATATATATATATATATATATATATATATATATATATATATATATATATATATCAAACACAATTAAAAACCAAACTCAATTAATTCACAAATGACAAAATCAAAGTATATCAACACGGGTTCATCAATATTTAGTGAAAGTACAAGTTTTTATATCATATTCCGTAAACTAAAGCATAAGAACAAAACCAAAAGAATGCAAGACACGATCATCAAGCAAACCAAAAGTGAAATCTCTATGTATTAGTGCTTTAATCTTCAAATACTTGCTCCAATAGAATTTCTAGCTTCAAAATCGACCCGTGGAGGGTTTTTGGACTTCAAAACGAAGTAAACTCACACATATAGCCCCCAAAGGTTGCACACCGATAAGGGTAAAAATCCCATTTTTTTATAGATTTTTTGGCTCCACGGCAGGACCA